ATACATAGTTTTAAAGTCCAGTCTGTATGGTGAAGCTGGATACTAAGGTAACTTAAAAATGGTCAGTAAAAGAAATTTATAAATTATTTGCCCCCCCCCCCCTAAAAAAACAACAGTAGCTTTTTATTCCATCTAACTAAAACTACATTTTACATTATGTAAACGTATTAAATACTGTGGTAAAAACGTGTTTCGTATTTAATCTTTATTTGCAAAGTTTATAGTAAAATTTACAAAAATGCCTATACAATTTGCTGACAGTTAAGATTATTAATGTTAACTTAAAAATTAAAGTTCGAAAGTGAAATCACACCAACGATCGCTATAACAGTCAATTAAAATACATATATAGGGTGACAGGGTGCAAAATAATATATTTTTTTTAACTTCAAACAACATTTTTTTAAATAAAACTTGAAAAATTTTGATTGTGTTTTAAGTTTAGTATTAATTATCTCCCGCCGTATCAGTTCTATACAGAAAGCTTTCACAATGTCAACATTTGAAAGCCGAGTTGGTGACAGTAAGTCCTACAGAGAGATAGGTTTTATCTTTCTAACTCTATAGACATACTATCTTAAACTTCTCAAACCATCAATAAAATATAAATCTTCCTTAAAATAATTCCAAGTTAGATATTTTGTAAGAATTGTTGAGCAATTATACAGGGTGAATAAAAAGTCAAGACCCCCCCCCATCTGATATATTTCCAAGTAAATATACAGAGATCTCCTTTTGGTGGTCGTGCAATCTTAGCAGGAAGTTTCAATTTATGATTTTGAAATTTTTGAGTGTCCACCCAAAAGGGGGGATTTAGGAGGCAACTCACATATTTTAAATGTAAACCCCCTGCAAGCGACACCTCATTTTGAAGAATTTACAAAACCTTAAAGAATAGTGAAAACTAGAGGTCGCTATCTCTTCTCTATCCAAAATGGTAGCCCATCAAATTTTGTGGAAAATCAATGGTAAAATTGGGTATTATTGGTAGTATTGGTTACCATTTTGGATAGAGAAGAGATAGTGACCTCTAGTTTTCACCATTCTTTAAGTTTTTGTAAAATGAGGTGTCACTTGAAGGGGGTTTACATTTAAAATATTTGAATTCCCCCCTAAATCCCCCTTTTGAGAGGGAAACTAAAAAATCTCAAAATCATAAAATTAAACTTCCTGCCAAGATTGCACGACCACCAAAAGGATATCTCTGTATATCTACTTGGAAAAATATTATATGGGGGGTCTTGACTTTTTATTCACCCTGTATGATTTATTATTCATGAGCCACTGTATAATTAACTTATTAATACATGAATAATTTGTTTAATGTAAGTGAAATTTATGCCAAAGTCATAAAGTTTTTAATAGATTAAAAAGCCTATTGGTTTTCTCTTTTTAACCAAAATTACCATTTTAGTATGACCCTCTTTATAAAATATATTTGATATAATGGAAAAATAATATTCTGCCTTACCTAAGCACAAAACGTGTAACAGTTTACATTAAATTTCCAAAGTCAAACCAAAATAATATTGGCAGTCACCACGAAACATGTAGTTGGACCTGATAACCAAGGATATTGTAAGGTAAATATATGCTTAGTACCAAAATAATAATACCCAAGTTGTATTTTGGTTTACCACTGTAAAAAAACTGTTGGTTTAAACAGTGTAGCCTATACCTGTGATGAAAGACAGATAAAGATGTTTGTTTGCTGCAGTCAAATGGTGGCTGGCACTTTTATTCCATCTGAAATATTGGTTTTCTAAAAGATCATTTCATTAATTGAATATGAGACTCTATTAAAAATAAAAAAACTACGAGTAAAGATTTCAATTCTTATACAACCTTAGCAGCTTGGTGTAAATATTGCGTTATTTTATTTATAACGTCTTGTTTTAAATGTCAATAAAAATATTTTTAAATGAAGGGGGCCATAACTATAATCTTACTTCTTACTAATATTAATATTATAAATGTGAAAGTTTGTGTGTTTACTTGTTTGTTTGTTTGAAGTTTAATCACGCATTAACTACTGGACAGATTGGCTGAAATTTGGCATGATTATAGCACACATTTCCGATTAACATATAGGTATATTCTTATCTAAAAATCCTTTCGGGCTCCGCCCCAGTGGCTCTGTAGTTCCCCATGTTAACCTTATGAGTATTCATATTTAAAGGGAATTTATGAATTTAGTCACCTTTTTCAAATCAAAAAGTTGGTTCTATGATATGCAAAAGCAAAAAAAAAAAAAAAACACCCCCACACACACACACACACACATCACATCACATCACATCACATTTTAGGTGATTAAAATGTTATAAGATTTACCAACAGGGTGCATCACTATTGTTTTTAATTTTGCATTTACGAAAACAGCTAATTTGAACCAAGCAGCAACAAAAAACTTTGATACGCAATGAGAACTGTCAAAGTAGGATTGTTTACAGTTATGTTTATGTCCTTAATTTCATGAATAATTTGTGAAAATTTGCAAATGTTTGATAATTTATTTTCCTCTACAGTTTAGGTGAAATGGTAGAACATAATGGCTATGGTAGATGTGTAATACTATAGTATACCGTAAATTTAAAGAAGGTAATTTTGTCAAACTGTATCCTCCCTCATTGCAAATACAAAGCTTAAGTATAACTGCAATAAGCATTTTATACTTAAATGCCTACCCAGTACGAAGGACGGGTATTCTGCGAGTGTTAATAAAAATATTTTCATTATGACTGGAAATATATTAATATAGCTCTTTTACTATTAATATTTTGTTTAACATGATGAAACATTTGTGAAACATCTGATGAACCAAAATGTTTTTCGTACCTTTTGTCCATCATAAACTGTAAAACAACTTATTATTGTAACAAACTATTAATTTGAACGCCTGACAAAAGTCGCTTAAGATTTTTGATAGCTAAGCAGTGTGTCACTTTTATTTGCTGAAATTTATACATTGACCTTTCGAAAACCATATACAACTATTTCATTTTACAATATTAACAAATACTAACGATGTTTTCTGGAGCGAGTTGATTCTTTTGTCTATTAAGGATGTTGTCAAGTTCCAGAACAAACACGCACCAATCAGCCAAATGACTCCTTGTCACCATGGAAACGTGGAGATGACTCAAATGTGAGACTTGTTAGTGGCTCTTGTTGTATGGTCTTGGTTTTAGATTCAAATGAGGTATAAAAATGTACCACATGATATTTAATATACGAAAAATGTAGTCCAAGTCTTGTTACTACTACTGTAAACAAGTTTGCTTATTAGTTTTAAAACAATTGATAAATATATATCAAATATTCAGTACATTTATTGCAAATTAGAGGGAATGTTCAAAAGAGAGTATTACAATTAAGAATACATTTTAATAATTCTACACATTTTTTACAAAATATACCAATTTATTAAAAAAATATGAAACAAGTTGTGTTGTACTGACCATTAAAATGTTTTACATGCCATTTTAAAAAGAATACGTATGATATTACAACTTCGAATTTATCTTGATAAACGTCAGTAGTTTAGCTATCAAAGACTTCCGTTAATTTAACTTCAGTTTTATCTGATTCCATTTCACTTAAAGTTAGTTTGTGATTTGATTCCTTGGTTAAATGCGTTTAAATTGATGAGGATAACAAACATTTCAAACTACAAATAATATTAAAGATTAAATTTACGTTTGATACTTCGTACATTTGATTTCTGATTGTTTTTTAATTAAAAATTTTATTTTTATTTTAACTCTAGGTAAAAGGAGTATATAGACATACTCCTTTTATCTACGTTTTAACCTACATTATAGTCATATTTTCTCTATGTCGTTACTTTCAGAACGTCTTCCAAACAGAAATAATTTACAAATAGTGTTAAATATATATTTTTTTAATACAGATATAGTTTATAACGACCTAAGCATAGAAGGAAGAGATATAGAAAAACAATTATTATAACGAGAATTTTGAAATTAAAATATTAGCAACATGTTTTTACTTGAAATCCTATTAAATTCTAGGCGTGCCTCCAATAATATAGGAAAATTAAAACACATTGTTTGTAAAAAGAAGAAAATATATTTATATTTATAATGTATATGTAGTTCATAGGCTTATGAAAGAACATATGAATATATTTAGAAGTATATAAATCCACGTTTAAATCTTGTGACAAAGAATTTCCCCTAAACTTGTCGCAATAGTACTGTACTACTAAGCAATATAAAATATCTTAGATAACATTCAGAAAAATAAATTATTGTATTGATAAAGTATTGTAACAAGATTTACAGCAAAAATAATACAATCCTAGAGAAAATTAACTCTTGTTAGTTGAAATGTTTACTAATCTTATGGTGTCTGCACTACTTAGTATATATACACATGTTCAACAAAATATTTTAATAAAACAAAATAATAAAGACATTTTAAGTTTTTACAGCCGAAGTGAACAGTTTTTTTTTTGTTAAATAGACTTAAACTTAGTATAGTGTTTTATACAATACGACACATATATCTCTTGTTATTTTCCATACTACAATGTAACGTTCTCACAAATTTTCTGAAGTTTCATAAAGCTTAACAGCGTTGTTTTTAAACATACTGCTTATAAACCGACCGACTAAAACTTGTATAGAGTACTTAACCTTATGGCTTTAGTCTTACCTTACCTAAATGAATAAATGCTTGAAGTAAGTATAATACCAATATCTAGATACTTATCGCACTACAATAACATTAGATTGTCGTAATTTTCATTAGCTTCTTGTTCAGATAGAAATCACTGTTGTTATTATGTTTCTTATTCAAAAATAATAATCTCAAACAAAAAAAAACATAAATATCGTATTTAAAACCACAAATCATAAAATATATTGTAAAAAGATGGACAAATGCTGTGAAAATATTTATTTTGTATATAAAATCAAACAAAATTAACTTTTACTTTTATATATAAATCATTTACTTAAATATGCTATAGTAAACTAGACTCTTTCCTTAATTTACAGGAAAACTATTTATAAACCAACAGATTTCAACATTTTACCTCTCATATATTAAAAATAAATGTTCAATGAACATAGATAACCCAATTCTATTTTAATACCTATATTTACATGTCAAGGGAATTACATGTGCGACGGAAATAAATTGTTAAAAAACAAAATACATTTTCAATTTTCTTTCCTTTTCTAGGGAAAACTCGGTACCCTGTTGTCTAAAAATGGAACAAGCTACTATAAAAGCAGTGCGGTGAAGCGGTAGCGGTGAACGAAGCGAAATGGGTAAATACACGAAGAAAGGCACACCGATAATAACATCTTATGAACACGTACATGAATATGTGACTTGTAATATAATATTTATATATTTATAGAAGCTTTACCCTACAAGTATATACATGTGCAATACTATCCCTACTTTATCACAAGCTACAGTTTCTAGCGCAAAACAGGACTTAGCCTAGATAGGAAGTTCTAGGTCAGAAAAGTGCTCAAAAACTACAGTTTACTTACAATCTACTGCAAAATTGACATCAGGGTTTCTCGAAAATAATATAAAAATACCAATTTCTTTGAAGTACTGAGGAACAGAAGAAAACTGTTACGTTTGAAAGGGAGATATATTAGATGACAAAGCAAAATGAATATTTAGCTGTAAGGAGGAAGATTTTCATTTAGTTTCTTAGTTTTAGATTGGTGTTTCAGTGTCATATGCAAACTTAAAACAAACTTAATATATTGTTTAACAGCTCTAAAAATACACATTGTCAATCAACTTGATCATTAGATTAAACTGTGGATATTAATACTTAATTGGTAAAACCATGTGATACCCTTCAGTATAATAAAGGATTAATACAAGAAAAATTACATGTAACCATGAAACGATCATGACAACAATGCAATAAAACCAGGTTAACTTTTCAATAATGAGCCTACCTTGTGTTCTAAATTTGGAAATATTTCAACTTTTTGAAATGTTTATACAAACAACAACACAATCCTAATGTTAACCAAATACTAATTATAATATAATAAGTTCCAATAGTTTAACTACATTTTTTTTACATGATTTGGCCAATAAACACAAAAACACAAAATGTTCTGAGGTTTTGATAATTTTTTCAATTTTTATGAGTATTTCTGAAATTAATTTCATGGCCCTAAGACCCTAAAAATACTACACTAATATAATATGTGTATTTGTTAACATAACCAAATTAAGTGGTGCTCTCGCAAATTATTATTTGCCGCATTTTGATGAACATATCTAATTGACTTTAGATTGATATTACATTGGTCCCGTTAAATGAATAAATGTAAAAGTATGTACATATCTTAACTTAAATAGTTACATTTTAAACCAAGCTAAGCTGAAAGTGACGAACACAGAAGAAACATCGTAGGCATTTTGTATGCGTAAACGTAGGTAGTTCTCTTGATAGTGACTAGGTCGCAGCACTGTTGACGGGATTTCCTTCCGCACTACACAATATACGTCATTGCTGTTTCCCCCCTCTTCTTCTACTCCCACCATCTACTACGCGTCGTTTGCTAGTGAGCATGCAGAGTTTGCGCGTCTACAGCGCGACTGGCGGCTAAATTTGTAAACCCAATCGAGTCAAACGCAACTCAAACGCCGTTTCCTTTGTTTTTGTCACTTTTCTATAAATAAACTAACTTTTTGCATCAAAACAACAACGTAAGCTACACCCGGATTGTATCTATTTCTTTACCTAAACAAAGTTGCACAAGTTGTCAATATTTAGGACGAAAATTAAACGTAGAGGGTTTACATTTGAAACACCTAGAAGCGTTCTGTTCCCCGGGGTGATTCAAGGAAATGTGGAAAACGACAAAAATAAAAATTTAAACAATCCTTTTTTTATGAGAGCATAAAATCTAATGATTTAACTTTTACGAGATCGCTTGGTTATTTCTATGAAGGTGAGCATATGAAGAAAAGAAGTTTAGTTTAAAATAGTGAAATCAGTTCATATATAAATCAACTAAGGTTGGTGTTAGTAGTTGACTTCGACAAAGTTGGTGGTTTTAGAACAACGAGTTTTAAGTTTTAGAGTACCAGTAAGCACAGTGTTATTCTCTCTCAGAACCTATGAATAATATTGTTTGGGACGTTGTAAGTTTTAGTTTTGATACTATAGAGTTCATTAGAATTCGGCTACACAATGAAAGCTGGACCAGCCATTTAGACTTATTTAAAATTATCTAAAGTGTCACCTTTGAGGAAAATATAATAACAATTTGTTTAAAAAATTTATTATTATTTTTTTTTATAAATTTATAATAGAATGTAGCATTCGATTTTAAATGCCCTGTGTATCCAGCGCGTAGCTCAAAACATGTATCATAATCTTAGGTTGGGCTGTATTAAAGAAATTAAGCCTCATGGCTTTTATGTTTGTAATCATTCGTTACTTTTGGGTCCACAAAGTATTTTCATACTCTCAATAACGTTCAAAATCTTTTAAGGAATATCTAAATTGACTGAATTGTACTTATTTTTTATACTGCAATGGTTCTATGGTTGGTTTGTTCTAATAACATACAAATCACATTAAATCCTTGGAAAATTTAGAAATTTCTAATAAAAATAACATACTCGAAGATAATTGATAATAAAACCACGTACAACAAAGTCTTTTGTGTTTTAAGACAACAGTTAATGTAGCCACTGTATAAGAACGCCAAACTCAATAATTTCCTAAGTAAAATTTCAACTAGAAAAAGGCCTCACACAAGAGTGAAAATATCGGACCCTCTTTAATGAATCCCCGTTAAGTTTAAACGTTTTCTACCCACCCGAGGTGTTTTCTTCAAGAGTGTGTTATATTTTTATTAATAATGTCGTAGACGTATAGGTAAATCAAGCCTAATATCCTCAAGTAGGAAATATCAATTAAATCGGCCAGTCACATTGTTCTACGGCCTGCTGCAGGATAAAATTTGAATATTAATTACATAAAATAGAATTTAAATGATTGGTGTATCATGCGTAAAAAATATACCATTGCTATAAAATACATTTCAGTCAGTAAAAGGGGCGATGGAAACTTATGGTGTTATGTACATAGTTTTCTGATAAGATTGACCTGAAAGAGGTCAAATGGACTATTTCTGATAGAGTGAGCGGTAAATAGTAATTGGACTGTTGGAGTGTATTTAGTAACCTTAAATTTAAAGCGACATTATGAATATTGGTGTTAAAGTAATTAGGTCACTGCTAAATGACACTACTGAATCCAAGTTAAGAACATATATATTTGGGCCTGCACGCTCCTACACTAGTGACTGAAAATGGTCAATGAACTCTTGAAGTTTTGTAGAAAAGGTGACCAGAGGAACAAAAAGGCCCGAAATACGTGTCATTACGTCTTATACAGATCGAATATCCTGCGGTGAGCTGGTTTGATGGTATGGACGGCGATTGAGCCGAGAGAGCAGACGTAGCCTGCTATTGTGTCCCACACACTGCCACGGCGCTGGGCAGATTGGGTGTGTGGGTGTGGGTGTGGGTGTGGGTGGGGGTCCACTGGGCCGGTGGGACGAGGGGTCCTCCGTCCTCAGGCGTACTCCGTATCAGAGGACATTGTGCGGTCCCCCAGACCGTGATGGTGGTATCTGGAACAACCAATTATACCGCTAGTAAAACGTGAAAATACTTAATCAAAACTAACTTTTCAGTTTACCCAGTAAGTATCAAGTTTAGTACCTTAATATAATCGATCTGGTTTACCCTAAAAGGTGTGCTCTATCAAGTATTGGCATGATTGTTGAGGGACTATGAGCTCCCCATCTTTATTCCATTCACGGTCGCCTTGCATTATGACATTTTGCAGTCGTAAGACGCGTGATTCAAAAGGTAGTGAAGTTTAAATTTAGTATTTCCATCATGGTATGTGTGCCTTTGATATAATATATTTCAAGTTCAATATTCACTTTTACTGAACCATAGTTATATAGATTTTTTTAGTTTCTTTAGAATGTATTTAATGTTGTTGGTGATTTGATCTTTAAGCGATATTGTATATCCATGTGCGACTAGAACATCACAAACAGGTCTTTGACCTAGGGATGATTCATACTTTAGTGGAAGTAGTGTGTAGCTATTTTAAATAGGTATTTGAAATACATACTGTATAGTTTGTGTAAAACATCCTGGTTTCTCTTTTTCGGTTCTCTTTAGTTTAAGTGACAACACAGACATCAGACGTCACGAAACTCTCATTATGTACTTTTTATAATGGTTTGTTAATACTGTACCTATTTTAGCTATACTAGAGTTACAATCAAAATAGAAGGGAATAATGTTTAAACAAATTAAGTTACAAATAAAAATAATCCTGTAATTTAAGCTTCTCCATGAGGGTCCTGAATACAGCTGACACAGCCCGCATGATAATAAACATGACGTTTCAAACCTTGTTAGCAGCCCGACTAACTCTTATAATATCTGTACGCGACTGCAAATACAATTTAGAATACGACTTTTCCCCTTTCTTGGAAAGTATAGAAGCTTTGATAGACGCTGCTCGTGGTACGAACGAACATGAACTAAACATATACTAAACATAGCTGAATGTACTATACACTAAGTACTAAAGACCCAAATGTTGGCGAGAGTAAAGTTGGTGGGTTTGGTTTTGGGGTGTGTTCGGAGAAAGTGTATTGTGGTTGCTGTAGTGGACGATTGGGTTGTTGTGGTTTTGGTAGGTTTATGATTTGAGTGGTTGTGGTTTGGATAGTATTCCCTGGTTTGAGGAAGTATTGTAAATTTTGAGGGATTTTATCGGTAGTATATAGAGGTTACAACTGTTCATTATCCTTATTAAAAAAATAGATATACCACTAATCCAACTAATTTTATTAATTATATTTCTTCACTCATACGAAATAAAAATTATGGTATTTGTAAATAAATATACAGTACTAGGTTATAAAATAGGGCTAAGAAGTGGTACAGCCATGTAATTATTATCGTTTCGTTTTTATCTACCTTATTCTTAATGAGCATTATGAAACTACAGTAGTTTCGATCGTGAAACGGACTGCACAAAAAGTAAATAAAAATCGGGATTAATATCTTCCATAAAAACAATATAAGACTATTGGCAGGCTTACAAAATTGAAATAAAAATTACTCTGTTCTTACCCGCGCTCTTCAAACGGATATGGATCTTCCTCTTCTTCTGGTCGACCATCAGGCGTTTGCAAATCATAAGAGTAAGTTCCTCTTGAATGTGCATAAGCTATACTCTTCTGATAACTAAATAGTTGTCGTTCCAAGCTATAGTTCTCTGCCTGGAGGGTCTGTATCTCTCGCCTGGAAATATTTTATAAACTTATTACCAAATTTAAATAATTAAAGGTAAACTTAAGGGGAAACAACACTGATATCATATGAGAGTTTGTTCGAAAAAATAATTAACAGTCTTTGGTCATAGGTTCAAATTCTTATCATAGCCTCACAAGACATCTTTCTCAATTCTAAATTCACCTTCTCTTCATGTTATAAGTAAAAGTTTTGTTATATATTATCTGTTGTAAGGCCGTGAAAATAAGACTGTGAAAGTAAGGAAACAGATTTTAGTCATTCCTTTAAAAAAATAAAAATATGCCTTGTAGGTTTATTAAGAACTAAAAACTTGTTTGCACTTGCCTCATTTGGTGGTTCTGGGTACGAGTGACGTCGTCATATTTATGATATGACGCTTGGAACAGAAGGTAACTCTCACTCCACACAACCTGCACCCTCATCTGACCTTTGTCTGTCAGGTAGGGACATCCTGGCTCCTTCAACTGCATGAAGCATAAAAAATTAAACTGTTAAGACACATTGAACAAAAAATTCCGTAACCTTTGCAAGGGAATAAGATCAAAAAGTAGCCTAAGTACAAGTTCATAATTTAGGTAACCATAACTAAATTGTCCTCCTGTAGATGGCCTGCGCGTTTTGCTTTTAACTTTAATTTTTTACTACCACATCATTAGGTTAAAGATACAAACAATGTTTTCCCACAACAGTCCTAAACATCTCTATTTTTTAAAGAAGTTTAATATGTTATTATTTTGAAAATATACTACAGAAAAAGAAATGTGATCCAGAGGGAATGAAACCCGTCGCTTACTCATAAAGACACCCATAAAACTGTAACAAATTACATTCAAGTTTTTACTTGTGTATATTTTCATAATTTTAAGAAATAGGTTCCTTGATAAACCAGAAAATCAAAATATAGCACTCAAGAGTTCAATTCATTCAATTTATTTAAGAGTTAAAATTTTGTCAATATGAAAAACTAGTTTCACAAACCTTAACCCATCGATTTTTTTCCGTCACAACTTTACATAAGGGTAGCATTATCTCATTGATAAAATCTATTTGTAATTGGTGGGATTTGAACCCGGGACTTGGGGCAACGAAGCCCCGTGATCTACCACAAAACCAGCTTGCCCTTCGCCCCTAGATGGTGATAAACGAAAACATTGTAAACACAATTCATAATTAGGGGAATCAATAAGCAGCATGTTTTGTTCTCTTACGAGACATGTTAGTACGAATGAAGCAGTTAGTACATTTGTTCAAGGGTTTTAATAAAGAGAATCAAATCAAATTGCTAAACTGAAATTAAAATATGAAACTATTGTTTACGCACTATATGCTAAGCGTTATTATTAGAGCCGACAGACCAAATTAATTACCAGTCAACTCCTCCCAAATTACAGAAGCATTGGTTTAGTTTATTTCAAAGGATAATTGGATAATTTACGAATCTACAATATCCGTTACAGAGTTATCAGTTGCAGGATTAATCTGATCTGTTTATTGTAATATATATTTTTATTGGATATTTCAAATTTTAATTGCTAGATTTAACGAGATTTTTGTTTTCTCTAAAAAGTTTTGGATCAAAATACAATACAATTATTTAATATTTATAGTGAGTATATTTAATATACCCAACGTGTGGTATCCCAGGCATTTCATAATTCGTTAAACACGATTGTTATTCTAGGAATATTATTATGTTACTATTTATATGTTGTAATTTATTTTTTTAAATTGTATTTCATATAGCTTTTCATCCTAGTCCATTGCTAGAAATTATCGGAAACATAAAATGTTGCATTATATTTCTATGACCTTTATTATACCTTTACGAAGTTTTTTAAATGCTAAATTTCATTGCCTTAAGTATAGAATCCTCAAATATTAGAAGTATCAAGGTTTTTTAGTTTTGTTTTTTTTGTTTGGCGCGTCTGGTTTAGTTTATCCCAGCAGAGAATTATCTTTTGTCCATACAATTTTCTTTTAATTTTCTCATAACTATGTCATACTCCTCTCTGTCACATTTCCCCCCTTTCTTCACTACTATTCTTTACTCACCTCTTTTACTCCAACGTCCGTCTCCATGATGATCCCCTCGTCACTGTTTTCTTGGGCGTAGTAGTGGCTAAAGGGAGCTCCGGGTAACGCTTTGGGGACCATTTCTCTCGAGTCTTCGTCGTACTTCAATAGGTAGGCCATCCAACACACGTATCTACAAATATTATGTTAAAACATGTCAATTTCATGCAGAGAAAACAGGTAAAGGATATGGTATAGGTATAGACGTACCTAATGCATTATGCTACATTTCAAAGTTACATTAATACCAAAGGGTACATTACCAATTAAAAGGGTAAGCATATTTTGATAAAAATCTGGAAATGTTATTATCTTACAACGGAAAATAGGACATGTCATAGCCTCGCCTCAACCACATTTCGCGATCGATGGTATGAATATTTTAGTTCTAGTCTCGAAAGTAATCTATGTAGAGTGTCATCGTAAATATGCTACAGATTCCTGAAACTATGCGATCGATCTTTGTATTAAGATTACCGAAACTATTCATGCACATTTACAATCATCAAATTGTATAATTGTTCACCCATTGTATAGATTGAAGTAATGAAATTGTTTAATTAAAGTTTTTATTGCTTGTTCGTTATTAAAGACTAGACACTTATAATTTAGTCAGTATAATTAACGTTTTTCGGTCGCCTAAGATGTCAACAATTGAGCTCACAACACATATCTTACATCTACGTTGTCTAAGTTGTGTGGTATTAGTTGTTGTTATCACATATTAAAATAAAACTAAGAACGCGAATAGAGTATTCGCGTTCTTAGTTTTATTTTAATATGTGATAAATACTCTCAATGTGAGCTGTTTTAACCTGTAATAGGCAGCTGTAGATGTGTCGTAATTGACACGAAACGCGTACTGCAGAATTCAACTCTTGACACCTTAGGCTACAGAAAAAGTAAACTATACTGAATTTATATGGCTATTGCAAAATATAAATTAAAGTTTGGTAATATCTGGTCAACATTGAGACTGTTTTTTCAGCACTTAGAACTAAAAGAGACAGAGTTGTTAGTGAAACTAATTTACCAACCCTTGTATTTCTAATCTCTTCTCTGTGGAAATTGTTATTGTTTGATGTTACCTTTGAAGGAAAAAAAATCAATTGAGAATGACGAAGATGATTATGATGATAGTGAACTAAAAAAGGCCAATACCGCATTTATTAATTACCTACAATAGCCTTCCCTTAGTTAGTGAACCCGGGGACGGATCTTTTATCTGTTTCTTAAATGTTACGTTATTAGTTCAAGTGGGTGTCAGTGTAGGGACTGGTTGTCCGTCACCGTTAAATATCCTTCCCTGGAACAGTAGACCCCGGACAGTTTGTCCTACTGACCTGAGATGGTTCCTGGGCACGTTGTGGATGTCCTTGTACACCATGTGTAGCCTGACAGTCTCCGAGTGGCAGTCACTCTTGATGGACCACGCCTGCTTATCTCTGTCATAGCACTGGGTGACAGCGGGGGCAGCCACCACGACCCCGTGGGTGCCTCCTGCCGGCGCTGCCGCCGCCCCACTGCTGCCCGCCGCCGCCGTCGCCGCCGCCGCGTGCTGCACCACTATCGTTGACACCACCTCACTCAGCGTGTTGGCCATCAGCATCTCCAGATGGACGCGGACTGCTCCCTGGACAATGAGTTGTTAAGCTTTATCTTTGTGACTTTGACCAGTAATATCTCAAAGTAGTTCAGCTGAGTTCGACCACGTCACATAAAGGAACCTAAACCATCAACCCCTATTACCATTTACACTAATACCATTGGATACTGAATTAGACATCCCATCTATATGGACTGGCTGTCGCCAAATGTTCATTAATAAAGAACCTAATTGTTTGAGTTAGACCCAGAAGCATGGTTACTAACATAGTTTTGTGGTAATAACAGTTGCTATGGCTCACAATAAGTTTAAATAGTTTGACTTGGTAAAAAAGGTTCGAAATGTATTAGACAGAAATCAGAAATCACCAAAATCTGTTGGTTGCCCACATCAACTACAACGGTTTTGATTAGAAAACTGGCAACAATTTTAATATAGGGATGTGATGCCTAGTTGTAGTCAAAGCTACAGTATTACTAAGTACTGACATGTTGGTCTCTAATATCACCTGACATCTGTTAGGTTTCATAGTTTTTTTGTCTTTGAGAAAGTTTTACCTAGTTCTATAAGACCTAGTATGTACTTAACTATGTACAAAATCATGACATTGTCATATTATGATTTTGTATTAGATTACAATTGAACCAAATTTAGAATCAGCTATGATAATCTGATTTTCGTGTTGTTTTTTACGTCAACTTCTTCCTGCAGCTTTTATTTACTTTTATAACTCTCCATCCATAAAATAAATGCTCCAGCTATGGCTAATCGAATTCTTCGTAATTATTATGCTTTGTAAGGATATATACTTCCCTTATAGCTCAACTCACCTAGGTTAAGCTATCTCGCAAGGAAGTCAAGATGTACGCTGGTGGAAATTCACTTCAGAAATGCTTTGTATCAAGGTGTCATGTATTACATGACTAGTTTGTGATTGTGTACAGTTTAGCTTAGTGGGTTAACTTGGTTAAATGTTGTTGTATACACAGCATGAAACCACGTGTAGCGACTTTAAGCACACACAGTCACTGACGGTCACACCTGTCCCCACTGACAATAGGACAATAGGAGCCACATGTATGAATTTGGTTCGTGTATAACCATTATGTGTTGTAAAGTAGGTAAACCACTTTTAAAACTTTTAATAATTTACTGTTTTTCATTCGATGGTTCATTACGCGAAGATTGCCAAAACTGATGTAGGCCTAATACTAATTTATTACGTGTTTTTATATTGAATGAACATAAGGAATACAGTTTGTTGTTTGGCTTGTCATACTTTAATCTCGATGTATAAAATTGCAATCAGCATAAAACTACATAGTACACCACCCAAGAATAAAAAATATATATAAGTATAAAACTGACATTGACTTATCATTATTTTTGGATCCATCTATCAACCAGACCTTCACTCAAAAACTTAAGCTGAATAAACAAAAACAAATAAACAATTTAATTGGACACTCTACGTAACATAATTTAATCAAATACGAAAAGCTTATTATTCATTAATGAACTTCTTTGAATGTCATTTGCATCTTGGTGTATTGTACTCGTGTCTATTGTCTAACACGTCTTTGTCTGATTAAATTATCAATCTAGCTAATGTTGCATATTAATAAGGAAGGATATATGAACTAACTAGCTTGAGTGCGTACAGAATTTCGTTAAAATCAAATTTAAAGCCTGGACGAATGCTTTCCAATTGCCAGAACAATACGTACCCTTGACTAAAACTAGTGAAATATAACTATAAAGATAGAGCTATTTAAAACAACATGGTAAACTACTTTGAAGTTATGTTTAATTTTATACCCACACATTGTTAATTATTATAAGCTGATGTCAGTTAAAATTCATTACAGTAAAGTGAATAAAATAATACGTAATGAAACCCCATTTGATTAATCAGGCGGCAAACAGCCGTTTTCTTCCGTTGTGTTTTTTTTTCTATTTTTTATTTTAGGCTATGTTATTTGCTTACTCTTTGATGTATAAATAAAAGAGTATTCGTTACAGTTGAAGTATGACCGATCGTGTGATTCTTTATCGATATATCGATCGACACAGAAGGATTCCGATATCACCATCATTACAACGGTGTTTTAATCACTACGCTTATCCACCACTAAATCGCGTTGCAATCAGTACACAATTACTCAACCCACGCCATGCGGTTGGTATTCGTGTTTCTCTGCTTGATATGATGCTCTTCTTGCATATGATGAATTAAATTTTTTGAGTATTTTTGTTTTTATTTTTTGTTGACTTGGCAATCGATTTTTAGTGTTTTATAGAAACGCCTATAGCAAAATCAGCAGATTTCGCATGCGAGAATAAAGCGGTAATAAGCTATTTTGCGCACTGTTTACAGGTCTGGATCATATCCAGAGTATGAAAAATTGTTAAATATTGACTCAAAGTCCTTTACCTTATACACGAGGTCCTGGAACCGTGACGAGGTGTGCCAACCATAGCTCTTCCCGTCTGAGTCAGAGACGTCATCCACGGGCCCTGAGTCCACCCTCCTCGGTCCGTCCCCCAGCACCAGACTGTACCGGACTCTGCATTGGTGGTCGAACCCGGTACACCTGTTGAGGTACACCGACACTCGCCCGTCTGTAGAATAAACAGAATTAGCAAACTTCCATACTTTCTCTCATTAGTTTGGCAACAACTTTTATCATAGGCAAGTGGTGAAAGTAACTAAACTTTTTGGAGAAAATTTATTTTTAAATTTGCAATAAATGTTTAATCTCTAGTACGGCAATGTGGGTTGGACATTTTTTTACAGTTAAAAGCGCATATACTACTGGATTAAAAAACAAATTTGTCGAGCCATTTATGTGAAAATCTGATTTTTCCTTTATTTCATGGGTTTTGTGGGAACATCGTCATCAAAACGTTTATACCAAGTGTCATCGAAATTGGGTCTCATAGGTAAATCTCTTCATATCTGCAGACACGTACACATACATAAGAGAAAAAAAACACTTTTGGGGTTTAGGGTGATATTTTCACCAAAAACTCAATTACTAACATTTTGACGAAAACAGTACTTTCCACATACTACGCAACAAAAAAAACTTAACATTTTATGAGGCTCTATGAGTGTGAGGCTCTATGTTCAATAAATTTCCCATAGTATTGGTACTATGTGTAATGTGAGAAAGTAAAAAGATTGATATGTTTTATTTCTTTTGTTTGACAGTCTATTGATATTTTATTTCTTTGAGGTTATGACAAGTGTGTAAAATCAAGTGTGTAGTAGGCCTAAGTAGATGCTGATGAAACTGGTCCTTAAGAATGAAAACAGTAACATGAATAATCACCATTGGTATTGTTTTTGTCTTTAAAGGAACTGCCTTTGGTCTTAATAATATTGAATGTTGACCTATTGTTAGATTGCACCATTAATTGACAGCCATAACTACAGATGCAATGAAGTGAAGGAAACAGAGATATCAATATATGAGCTTGTTGTTTTGCTTAAAAGTGTCTCACGTGCTTATTTATAATTGTTGGTGTTTTTGGCGACTGGCGTTCTGCAGTCCAAACGAACTATGAGACGGCAATAGATTATTCCCTATATGAAAAATTCCCTAAATAGTGCATTTGCAAACAATGTTACATTGAGTAACAAAACCACTATTTTTGATACACAGAATAGTTATTAACTCAATATTTCTAGTGTTCCATTGTCATTTTGTCTGGCGTGTGATAAATGGCGTTAATAATTGAAACAGACCACGGATTTAATTGTTTCGTCGAGAATGGAAATGGTTTTCACACTGGCACCCAACGAATATGTGACTTAGTGTACATGTTTGGTTTAACAGGCTATTTATCGTACAAACATAGATAGAACATACTCTCTGAGTAAATTTCTGATCCTTATTGAACAGCTGAAGACAATTTTATTGTTAGTTCTGAACGGTACTGTAAAGGTCGTGTTTTGTTTACAATTTGTTTCTTGTTATTTAAGTCAATTAAAACATCGTTTAAGCAAATAACGCAATCTAACTGTAAACAATAACTCGTCTCCTAGTTATATAACCAACAGTAATCAAGAATTAAACCCTAAAATAATAGAAACAAAATTTCGTTGATACTAGCGCCCATACATGAACTAGACAAAAAAACGAGCTTGATATTTACAGTGGCATGAAAAGTCTACTTGTGTTGGTTAGTCTATGCTACAAGTAATATTATTTAAACAAAGTTATTTGATTATTTTCTAGATTCATAAGAATTGGGTTATTGTAATGTCATAAGCTCTCATTCTATTATTCTTTATGATTGGAAAGAGCCTGACATAATTTTTTATGTACAGACGATATTTATACAGAATAAACATAAGCTCTGTAAAATTAAATTTACGATTTTAGATTTTTACTAAAACATGTAACAAAATAACAAAAGAAAATAGGTTTGAATTTGATCTTAATACTGTTATTATTGGTTGAACCGCAAGATTAACTGAAGTAGCTCAAGTAAATAAAAAATAATTATGCATGAATTTTGTGAAGGTATAACGTCGCAAACGGTGAATATATTCACATAACAACGATTTTTAGGATTCCGAAAGTAACAATCAATCAATAAATGTTTTATATTGCATTAGAAATATAAATAAAAGTGTATATAATACACTTTTTGAATGACCAACTAACTGTTATCCTCCTATCGATATATACAGCTCCGATATATATCGATATATATCGACCGATTGTAGGGTTCCAATAGTATCAATCGACACATTTATGTTTATATTGCAATAAAAGTATAAATAAAATAGTTTTCGTTACGGTTGAAGTATGACCGATTGTGTGATGCTCTATCGATATATCGATCGACACAGAAGGATTCCGATATCACCATCATTACAACGGTGTTTTAATCGCTACGCTTATCCACCACTAAATCGCGCTGCAATCAGTACACAATTACTCAAACCACGCCATGCTGTTGGTATTCGTGTTTCTCTGTTTTAACTTGCATATGATGAACTAAAGTTTTCGGGT